CCAGAGAGGGGACCGGTGCATAATATATCCCTCCTCTGAGGGTTTCCGTAGCGACCTGGGGACCAATATCCCCGTTCGGCAGAATGGCAGCCGCTATGGACCGCGGAATGGCGCGGAATGCTGATCAGCTCCCGACCAGGAGATCTAACCTGCGCAATAAGCTGATTCTCTGAACGGGATTACCAGTTACAGCACCACATGTCACGTAGATTGCGCCATTATGTTGTGAGCTCGTGGTACAGTACCTGACAATCCCTTCCTCAATCTGAAAACCGCACAGGTAAGGCTCGCGGTCCGAGATGCCTTCTACAGGTAAGGTTCGCGGTCCGAGATGCCTTCTACAGGCAAGGCTCGCGGTCCGAGATACCTTCTACAGGTAAGACTCGCGGTCCGAGATGCCTTCTACAGGTAAGGTTCGCGGCCCGAGGTGCCTTCTACAGGTAAGGCTCGCGGTCCGGATGCCTTCTACAGGTGGGACTCGCGGTACGGGATGCCTTCTACACGTACACAAACCGATTTCGTAAGGCATTGGAGAGCATCACTTTCTGAAACATGGTCATTTTCGCCCGCCCAATGAATGCCGCCGAGTGCTGCTGCGAGGCCGGTGCTGCGCAGCCCATGGAGACTGCAACGCCAGGAATCGGTGTCTTTCTCCAGTGATCTTCTTTCTCCAATGATAAGGTGGGCACAGACCTTGCCCCCGTTGGGCCCCGAAGGAACCCTTAGACTTCGAACAGGCCCATAGATGGTCGAAACAGACGTAGTTTTTAACGCAAAACGCAACAAGAATGAACGTCTTCGGGATTTCAGGTGACCAAGGACAGTCGCGGGCGAAAGTAAAGGGCACACGAGCAAACACAAATAATTATTCACTGCTCGAGAGGGTGATGATTCAGATATTTTAAGGCTCGTTATGTTGTCCAGAGGCCCTACGCTGTTCCTGGGGGTCCTATGTCTCCAGTTGCAGGGTAAATCCGATCGCTAAAAAGCTTTCTACGCTGCTCTTGCTCCTTTACGTTTGCCCGGCGGGCCACGCGCCGTCGCCGGGGCCCTTTCTGTAGCATGCCAGGACACTCTTGCCGATTAGGGGCCTTCTACGGATTCTTCCCATTCGCCCGAAAGACTTTATACGCTATAGCCGGGGCACCATGCGTTAAACTGCTAGGGTATTCTAGGTTGCTCAGGGGCCCTCACGTTGGCCTCGGTTAACATACGAACACACTTGTAATATGCTCATGGGCGCTCTCCATTGGTCCAGGGCCCTTCCAATTCCCTGTCATTTGTGGAGGGCCCTACGCTCTTGTCGGGAAGGCCCACCTGTTCACCTGCTCGGGCACACTCGAACGTTCGGGGGCCGTCACACTCAGACTTGGGTACTTCCTATTGGCTGTTGAGGGCCCTATGCTTTTGACGGGACCCCATCTGTCAACCCGCCCAGGTATATCGCCGTCAGCCCTCCACCCCGATGGCTCAGTGGGTTGGAGCGCCTGCCTTCCGATTAGTCCACCCGTGGCGGGGTGGGTTCGAGCAGCTTCAGGCGCTCGCTCTTAGTCCTCGACAGTTATGGCCTGCGGCCGGTGGCAGCTGTCGCGCTTAAAGTCAGTTGACGTCAGAGGGCAGGGCGGATCGTGCTGAACACTGCGGTACGTTAAACTTTCGCCACCAAATTCTGCCGTTGCCCTGGCAGTGCACGGTCGGATGGTACGGATCAGAGCTCACAGATCAGAACACTGTATAGCATGAGCTGTGATCCCAAAAATTCATCCATTCAAAAGGTTCGGATAAAATCTTTATAACCATCCATCGTTCGGTGCCCTCCATATTGGGTCCAGAGTAGTTGCTATTTGAACTGAGGGCCCTACACTCCTGTTGCGGCCCTGCCTGTTAACCTGCTCGAGCACACCCGATTGTTCGGGGTTGTTGTGTTGCACACAGGATTGTCGACGTGCAGTTTGGATCTTGGGTACTTCTCATTTCAATGTAGTGTCCTACCGAAGCAGGATCTTACCATCCTCCAGCATTCCGTTGCACTCTTAATCGATCAAGCCCCCCCCCCCCCAAATTCTTCACGTTTGCCCGAGGGGTCTATACGCTATTGCCGGGGCCCGTATGCCGAGGAAAACTCGGCCGCTCATAGGCCCTTCATATTGGTATCAGGTTATCCCAATTGCTCGAAGGGCACTGTGCTGTTGCTGGGGTCCATATACGATAACGCACAAAGGCACTCGATGCTCAGGGCCCCTCTATACTGATCCTAGGGCTCTTTCGCTTTGAGCTCAATTGCGGAGGACCCTTCGCTCTTGTCAGGGCCCTTTCTGTTTACGTGACAGACCACGTTTGATCGTACAGGGATATACATTCATGTATACTGGTCTTTGGTTATCCGCCTTTGCTTAGAGGGTCCTGTGCTCTGGCCGGACCTTATAAGCTAGCGTGCCGGGGTACTCTCGATTGTTCAAAAGCCCGCCATATTGATTCAAGGTCTTCTTGCTTGCTCTGAGGACCCTACGCTGTTGACGGGAGCCTCTTTGTTGGCCAGCCGCGACACCCTCGATCGCTCAGGTGCCGTCCCTTTTGGCCTTGGGTTTCCCATATTACAGGAGGGCCTACGCCCGTGACAGGGGCCTGAATTTTAGAAATAATGATCGGGGCTTTACGCCTTACCAACCGCCAGCCACTTCGAGATGGATGCTTTCAAGGGTCATCATGTGGGATGCGGTGGTGGCGTCCTGCGTCAAGCGCCCTAACCATTACACAATCACCGGCCCAGGCCTAACTCTTGATCGGCCCGGACACTCTTAATCGCATGAGGGCCCTCTGCGTTGGTCGTGGGCTCTTCTGATGAAGTCAGAAGGATCTTATTCTGTTCATGTAAGCCCCACATTTTCTGTTGCTTGTGAGGTCAAGGACGTTTTGACTGGTCATGCATATGGGTCTGACCTAATTACTTCATGTACATCGGTCCAGGGTCACAGGATGAAAGTTCCCTTGGTGCCTTAGCCTTAGAGTAGCAGTCGGATGTGCGCCTATAATTTCTACACACAACTGTCAAGCAATTGTGGTCCATGTCACATGCTGAGAGGTCACTAATGCTCATTTAGGATCACAAGCCTTGTGACCTTTCAAGGGGCATGGTGACCAAAATCATACAATATGTATTTTATCTCTGGATTTCAATAAATGTTAAGAATTATAGTTAACAGTATGTACCTAATAACAAAATGTTGACCTGGGTGATTCAAGGTCAGTGACCTATTCTCACCTAAAAAAGTTCATGGAACATGTGCATTTTGTCACCATTTGTAACTGATTCCTGTCATCAACAAATAAAAAAGAGCATTACAAACTACCACATACAGATAGTTCTAGAGCAGTAAAATGGGTTAGTTTTGATCATGGTCTGACCTTCACACCTGACCCTAGGGCAATCAAATTTGTTACTTCAATCTGTGCTGCCTAAGAAGTTCTCTCAAAGATATATGACTTTGTCTAACACTCTGTTGTTGCATTAGATTGACTGACACCAAAAAAACTGTCTGTTGAATCCATGGCCTGTCTTTGAACTGCTGTAGGACACAGAACTTACAATGTTCATCCAAATTTTTGACAGCAGACAATCCACTATTCAAATGTCTACAACTACACACAAGTTGAGGCAGTTATATCCACCTATTAAGAAACAATTCTGGAAATGTGTGGAATACATGAATGTGACAATGAAATAAAATCTCCATTATGCTAGGATTCAAATTCCACATGAACCAATGTTCCATAGGTCAAGTAAATTATGTTATTTTGCATTCAACTCGTTTAGTTGTGTGTATCAATACACCTATCATATTTTTGGCAATCAGCCTTTACATGACCCTTTCTTATTCATTTCCTGACTTTCAAAAATATTTGCACTCTGGTGGCCACAATGAGAACTAATCTCATGCAGTATACCGTACCGCACATTCTGCCAACAGGACGCTTTACCGACTGCAGTCATACTTAGAACTAGGCAACGTAAAAATCGAATCATCAAGAACAGTAGGCAATCATGATGGGAAGGCTGGCTTTTTGAACTGGCGTTGTAAACAGCATCCTATTGCTGATGCGTAGAATCCGACGTAACACGTAGTTGCAGGTATTTCACCATACAGACGGTTACATAGCACATGCTGTGCATCAGGGTACCACATATTGAAGCCACACGAAACTTGCATGCTCCATACGACATACCTCGAGGCTTCTTTACAACCGTTTGAACCTGCTGACCACGGCAGTACCACCCATCGCTACTCATACGGGGCCTCCGGGGCCCGCAATAAACAACCGCGTGTATCTGTTTGCTGTTGCAATTTACCTATTTGAAATAAATGCGCCATTAATGAATACAAAAAATTACCTGTTTTCTCTATCTTTCGGTTTTCGAAATTAAAGGGAGCACGGCTGTGCCAAAGTGTTTAATTGCATGAAACAATCAGAATTTTGCCCTTTTTGAACAATTTAAGTGAGCAAAACCACTTCATATTTATCAGCATGGCTGCTTTCATGAAACATAAATATTGGCTGCACTAGGGTTGCGGTAATCACGAAGAAATTTGCGGGGTATTTGCAGCACATTTTGGCAGCCGCACTCCCAATTACCTACAGCTGTCCACAAGTTGCAGCCTATGACGTCAGACGAGAGGGCGCCACGCCAACTTCTACGGCATGGAGGATAGTCGCTTTTGTATGACGAAGGTACTTGGACGTCATAGGCTGTAACCCAATTAAGTATTTTGCCAATAGAGAACGCAGTCCGGTGGAATGGTACTTTTTATCTATAGTAATGAGCACGCACTTACAATGTATGGAAACCGGCACACGTATCATAAGGTCAATGGACGGGCGTGCTCATAAATTGTTGAGGCTGGCGAAGCGTTGGCGTTGGCGAGGCGTTGAGTAACTTCAGGAATTAGAGTACATTTTGAAAGTGTCGGAGGAACTCACAAATGGTTGGCACATGTACTAATAACACCATTGTATAGCTCCATTATATAGCTCGCTTGTTAAGTTTAGCTGATACGGACCGTTTTACTGAGTGCGGGGTCCGCACCGGCGTTACGATTACTATTAAGACCGGCGTGAGCGTTAGGGGGCCTTGCGCGTGAGTAGTTCTCTGGCTCATTTGCCTTGAAGGGGAAGGGGTTAGGTGGGTCCTATCGGCCCGAGCTCTGTCAGCTTGGGCAGCACCTTCCGGTTCCTGAGTATGTGAATGGTCCATGATGACCATGTAGGGATAAGTTTCTTTGTGTGTTAAGTGGTTTGTGAAAGACCCAAGTCTCAGGAAGTTATTGTGTTTAGCTAACTAAGTTTTTCAGAGACAAGGCTGGTGGGAAATACTTTATGGCGGTATATTCCTTTATGCTGAAAATAAAATGCCACAGTCACTGCAAGTTTTATTTTCCATGCAACAGAGCTTCTTTTGCACTGACTATGTACATGGTGCATATGATAATGCTCAAGTGTGCTATTGGAGTAGATAAGATGGAGGTCTGCCTTTTGTTTGCTGGGATTTTCTACCAGAAAAAGAGAATGTGTTAATGTTTTATTGTCCGAGGGAGTTTGCTGTCAGGCTCAGCTTGGACTTCTTCATTTTCAATCACATTTTGTGGAGAGTATGTTCTTCCTCTTCAAGGCAGAATTACTTTGGCCTGTGGCTCTGACTTCTTAACTATGTTAGGCTTCTTTTGCCCTTTGACAGATGTAGTAGAGCTCCATTATGCAAGGGCTGACTGTGGTAGCAAACTTATGTAATCCATAACTTCAATCACTCATTCAGCACCCAAACTTGTTCAAGTATTCTTATCAGCACTGGTTTACAACCTTTTGTAACCAGTTCTCTGTTCCTATGTGCTGCTACCTGCAAAGCATTCAAAACTTATGACTTCAAATCAACCATGAAAATGACATCTGTCTGAGCAGTTTTATTATTCCTTTATAGTGTAATCTTTTGACTGCTGAAAATACTTGACTTCTTATGTAGGGTTAGTTTCTGAGGCATGCTTCCTGATTAAAGTCTGATGTTTTGATCAAGTTAATGTTGTAGCTAACATTAAAATGATAGTGCTTCACTCATAATTTACCAGTTTTCACATTTATACTAAATATACCACCTTCAGTGTTAGACAGCTCATTCCGCTCTGCTCTTGGTGCAACATACTTCAGATACCTAGACTTGATACACAGCCTTGACATGTCAACTTAGTGTATAAACTATTAGCTTTAAGTTGTTCTTCTCTCGATCTTTTGCACTTTCTTCCATCAAAATACTCACGTCATCCTCAACGTATTCTTCCTGCCATCTTCTCAAATTTGATTAAAGCATCCAATTAACCTGGTCAAAATGATTTGTTTTTTTCTGAATAACCCTTTCTTTTCTTTTCTGACAGTAGTCTGTTTTATGCCTTGATACATGAAAGCCAATTTCTTTCTGTGATGGTGTTCAATAAAATAATGTGTGTCAGACCTAAAATAGTGGACAGCTCAGACCCTGGGAAGCATATCTTTCATGGACATGATAAAAATCAATGTTGTTACTTTCCAGCAATAAAAATGAAGCTCCAAGGAATTCTTGAAAGTGTAAGTATGTGCACTATTTAACTTTGTGATCTAATAGTTTGACAATTACTTTCTGGTATCTATGATAATTTTGCACTGTTATGGATTACATTTTTAGATTATATTTGCTCCTGGATTCATCATACTGTTAAAAACTCAGAATGCATCTCACACATATCTTTATATTCAGAGCTTGAACCTACTAATGCAGTCATTGAATTAAAAGTATTATTGTTTTTGCCAAGAACATTTCAGACTGTATGGAATGTCTTTAGATTTGGAGTTCTGTCACCCTTTCTGTCAAGTTCTCTGTGATAGAAGCGGTGTAATAAGTTAATGACATCTCACACATGTATTTTCTATTGGTTGTCTAGTAGATGCATCACTACTACTGAATAAATTGTAACATTGTTCAAATCTTATCCAAATGCAAGTGTTTGCATGTGTTCTGGGAAGACATTTATGATTGTCCCTTAACATGTAAACATTTCACAATGACTTGCATGTGTGCCAATATTTCAGATGAAGTCATTCCACAAATCAACAATCAAAATGAAAAATCCAGGAAAAGTTGCTGAAATGGTCAGCCAGATCATTGCAGATGGCAAATCAAAACTCCAGGTGATATGACTGTGACTGTGCAATGTGCAGAGTGCTATGATATTCAAACCAAGTAGTGCCATCAGTGCCCTGTGTCCATGATTTTCAAGAGGCAAGGAGTGGCAAATCAAAGCTTGGGCTCAGGGGGGGGGGGGGGGGCAAAGGGCATTAGTGAGCACCACATTGCCAAAGCTGAGGGTGGCAGCAGTCTTTTCAAGCTATTTCTGCCATGAAATTATTATAAGTTAAAGCAAGAACACCTACAACACTTACTTAAACTTACTTACAAGTTAAAGCCTTGGACAGTTTGCTGGTACCAGTTTGCCCTGTTAACATACTAAGTTATACTGAAAACCAGTTAAAAAGAAGCTCTAGCACTGCCACTTACTCAGTGCTACATGCTCTCTATTCACCTTTTCAGTGGTGAATGAGACACATTTTTTTTCCACAGAGCCCAAACAATATCAATGTGCCTACAATTTTCCGGTGCATAAGCCTTAGCTGAGGTCCATGCCAGTAGTTAAAGCAGGGTGGTATCCAGTGGGTCTTTGGAGCTCCTTGATATTGTCAGTTGTTGATGTTTCTTATATGCTATGTTTATTGATCTGATTAGAGTTGTTCACTCATTAGTATCTCATCCTTCAGGAACACACTTTGCAAACTGTGATAGCTGCTCTGGCCATGTATACATGCTTTTGGAAATGTGGTGACTTCTGCACCAACAGGATGGCAAAGGGATGTTGCAGTATGTAAGGAATGAACCTTTACTATCACTGGTGTGGTATGAGGCTGAATGTTATCCTGCTGTTTTGTCATGAACCCTGGTATGGTGTGACAAAAATGGTGTAAAGCTGGTTTAATCATTGACAAGGTTCAGCATAGTTTAATAATAGTGGCTTCTGCAGCATAGGATGCCCAGCAGCCATGGTATCATGTGTCACCTCATCTCTGCACCCCTCTGACTGCAACCATGGGTGCCATCTGCACCCCTCTGACCAGGTGGTTTGGCTGTCCCACTCAGGTCATCATGGACTTTGACCACACACTGACCCGCGTACATGAGGCTGGGCGGCGGTGTGCTTGCACCTGGGGTAAGAAGCCATCTGTCGCGTGTCGTCTCAAAGAGGTCTGTGTCGCCCTGTTGCGATGACTCGGACTTAGCGGCTCCGCCCATATTGCAGGTGGTGACTGACTTTGATCGCACGCTTACCTGCACACGTGGGGACGCGTGCCCCGCCGCCAGTCCGCTGGCCTCCACGTGTTTTGGCAAGTCCGACAGGTGGTGTTGGAAGGGATTCTGCGGCTCTCATACAAGCTGTCTAAATGTAGTAGTTCTGATCTGGAGGCTGCCTGCTGTTGTGGTGGAGGCCAGTTCTTGTGGTTGCTTGGTTTCATGGTGATCGTGTATTTTGGTGGTTTATTTTGAGTACAGTCCGAAAATGCTGCTCTGAATCCAGATGTGCTGACTTGTTGTAGTGGTGCTGTGCCAACGGTCTCACTGCTGGCGCAGACCGCTTCAATTCGGTGCTCCTTTCACATCATAATAGGAGTGAATGCTGACCTGAAAGATCAAACTCTAGGCAGTAGTTCCCAGTGAGCAGAGAAGCAGGCCTTAATTTCACAGGCCATTTACAAGTGTAAATGAGAGGTATGCGTAATGCTTTCCGGCGTTTCTTTAGCGCTGCAGCTTCATATCTTAACAAGTGGAGGCTTTGGCTGTGAATTAGTTCGAAATTCACATGTCAGGCAGGGTGAAGAAGCCAACCATCCGGGCGCAGTGTGAGATCCATGAGGGAAGGAAGGATTGCTAACATTTTGCATTTTCTACGGTGTCGCTGCATGGACTTTGGCACAACATTGGTTATGGTTATGTCTTGTAAAGCTTATTCCTAGGCGCTTATTCCTGCCTCAAGCAATTTCAAGCAATGGGATTTTGCCTCAAGCAATGTGTTTTTCTCTCACAAATGTTGTTGCAGCCTGTTTCCTAGCTGCGCTTGTATGCCTGTGTTAGGTATATGTTGTCTGGCATATGCATTTTGTTGCATATGTGCATAGTACCTGCTGATATGTTTCATGGGCCAAGTTGATGAATTACTGAAAATGTTTTTTTATTGGGTTTTCTGGGCCCTTTGGTGCTTCTTAAGTTGTCAGTGAAGGATATTACTTTAGCTTTGTCTCATTTCATAGCTGTGGCAAAGGCTTGTGGGACGGCTGCTGACGTAGGATGGAGCACGGGCAGCGGCGTTCCTGCGCCGCAAGGCACAAAACACACACAGCGCTTCCCGCAGCCGTGCCGGAGTGGCGCGGCGCGGTAACGCGGGATCTAGATGGCCTTGATTGTGCGTGCCGTTGTCGCCGACGCGGGATGGCGGGGTGCGGGCCGAGCTCTGCGCGCCGCCACATCCGTCTAACGGGCCTGTCCTCCGCCCGGCAGAGATCCTGGACCAGTCGGAGCTGATGCCGCAAATATACCGCGACGAGACCACGCGTCTGCGGGACAAGTACTACCCGATAGAGATCGACCCGAATCTCACCATTGAGCAGAAGCTGCCCATGGTAGGCACCGGGTGATCCGTGGGATTGTGCAGTGCAGGCAGCGCTGAAAGGTATCGAAAATGGGGTATGCTATCGAAATGCGCAAAGAAAGCTAGCTTTTCCGATCGGGCAAATGCAGTGACAACATTGCTGTACATTACAGGTAATATTTAAACATGAAATGACCACACATCTTGAAATGGCTCTGGCAGTCGATGAGACGCGCACCTCCAATTTGTATTGTTATTATTATTATTATTGTTGTTATTGCTATTATTATCGTTACTTTCATTGATATTAATGAACACATCGTCACACACATGGCTTTAATGTGACACGTTCGTTTTTCACGTAAGTAAGCATCGCAGCGTATACTCCATTATGCATTCCAAGCGACTGCTGAATCACGTGACGTCGAATCTGACGTATTCCCCTGGTAGCGTCGCCTGGAGAGCGCGCTCCGCCCTGGCCGCTGCAGTCCGCACTGACCGGGCCTCCCTCCGCGCGTGCCGCAGGCGGTGGAGTGGTACACACAGGCGCACGAGGTCATGCTGAAGACGGGCCTGCGCCAGAAGGACCTGGTCGCCATGGTCCGCGACTCTAGCGCCAAACTCAGGTGCGGCACGGAGCGCAGTCGCTGGGCGCCGCCTCTGGCTGACGTCGCCGATTGGCTGGAATAGGTCATTTCCGTTCGTGACGTCAGCGTGTGTTCACTGGATGGGCGATGGGGATGTATAGCTACACCGTGAAAGGTAGTGAAACACCTCACTTCCTCTGTAGGAATGGTGTTAGGTTAGTTTGCGCAATGCTCCGGGTTTGCCGCCTTCGCCCCGCGACGATGTCAGTGTTTGGCTCAGCATGTGGGAGGACCAATCTCGTGTATGTGTGGTTGGGTCAGCTGTGAATGGCCGTGTCGGCTGGTCACGCGTGTGCTCTGCTGATGTGTGACATGAAGTGGTTGGATAGTGGTGTATACCCGCTGCAACAGTTTGGCGTCCCTGTGGTGGTGTGGCGACCTGACCTGTCCTGATCTGTCTCAGGGAGGGCACGGATCAGCTGCTGGAGCGGCTGCACCAGATGGACGTACCCGTGCTCATCTTCTCCGCCGGTCTGGGGGATCTGATTCACGCCCTGCTCGACCAGCACGCTGACAACCATGACAACATCAAGGTCGTCTCCAACTACATGCGCTTCGACGACGAGGTGTGTGTGTGCGGAGTTGGGAGCCTCGCCGCCCAGTAGTAGGCCGCCTGCTCATGAACTTGCTGTCTGTTGTACCTCAGTTTCCCTTCAACAGCTCTGTGTAAGAGGCCAGGACACCTATAACTGGGGCTGTGTGGGGCGTCAGGTAATCGATTTGCTGTTGTGTTGTGTTATGTTGCTGGCGATGTGACCAGTGGTGTGTTCTTTTGAAATTGACGTCCGTATTTGTTTTCAGTGGCGTATTAGTCGGTGAATATCTCTTTTTTACATTTTGGCATTGCCAGGGAGAGGTATGTTTTTACAACACAATTTGTTTTCGTTGGTTCTTTGAATCCCAGGTGTTACTTAAAGCGGCGGGTAAATAACACGTACAAAATACCTTGGCGACTTTTGCTGACCCTGGCCACATGCATACTTCCTTCGTCTCTTGATCTGGACTGGTTCAAAGCCGTTGTGAAGCGGTACTACTTTGGTCCTGTTCGCGTCGAGTTCTGTCCGATCTCCCTGCCCTCACCTGTTCCCGCCCACCCCTCAGGGCAAGATGGTAGGCTTCCACGACGAGCTGATCCACATGTACAACAAGAACGAGAACTCGGTGCACTCGTCGGCCTACTTTGAGCGGCTGCGGGGCCGCAACAACGTGCTGCTCATGGGTGACAACGTGGGCGACCTGCGCATGGCCGACGGCGTGGAAAACCCCAACGTAACGCTCCGGATCGGCTTCCTCAATGACTACGTGAGTCCTGGAGGCGAGCGCCGGCCGCGCGCGAGCGGTGGAGGTTGTGGGAACGTCTCTGGCAGGTCGCGATTTAGCTGGGGTACGGGCGTTGGAAACGTGATGGGGCTTGAGGATGTGGCAGCAGGGGTGTAATCTCTTATTCAGTGGGGGGAGCTGGGACCCCCCCCCCAAGTTGGTCCAATTCCCCCCTACTCCCAACTTTGAGTTGAAAGTGGGCCAAATCTGAGGAGAAACGCGTTTGTTCGCGATTTTGGGGAAAGTTTGAGGCATTTTTCGCTGTTCAGCCCTCCTCCCCCCCCCCTAATCGTCACCTAATGCTGCGCACCTACGCCGGAATGAGAGCAAAGTACATCACAGAATGAGGATACAGGTAGTGCTGTTAAAACTGCAGATGAAGGGTGGCACAGTGGATGGTGTGCTGGATAGAAAATAATACCATCTACTGCTATCATAGTATACTCCCAGGGAAGAGGGGAAGTAGCGTCATTCTCACTAAGCCCATGCTGCCTGCTGAAACCCAACACTGCTTTGCCTTCAGAGTGAAGAGCGTCTGGCGAAGTTCCTGGACATGTTTGACATCGTGCTGGTGGACGACCAGACGATGGACGTGGGCAACGACATCGTCACGCAGCTCGCGTAACGCCACTTGCCTCCATCGTGCCATGCCGACAGCGAAATCTCGATTGTGATTTAGGTTGTTGCTCTTCTGGAGGCTAGTTCCGGCGCCGGCCGCGGGCGGCGCTGTGATCGCCCGAGTGCAGGCACTGCTATTCGGCCTCATGCCTCAGGGATGTTTTGGCAGTCTGGATCCAGCCGAATTTGCTCTGCGAAGCAAGTCTTCAGCTGAAGATTCGCACTGAGATTTGGACGGTATCGCGGAAAACTTCGCGTGCGTTTGCGAGTGCCTATTCCTTTCTACTTCATTGGCCGTCTTGGTTGTTTTGCGCAGAACCGCGGCTGAGTCATGCAAGTTTTATAGCATGATTTAAAGCGCCCTCATCACCTTCCGTGATTTCGTTGCGGATGTGTTGGGACAACGCTCTGATTGTGCCATGCATAGAAACACAGTTTGGATGCCCATGCTGTGAAGAGCACCAGTTTGTTTTCAGGATCACTGCAACCTGTGGAGCTGATGCTCTTGAGGCTACTGATGCTCTTGAGCTGATGCTCTTGAGGTTTTATTTTTCCTTCAGTGCACATTTATGAAAAGTTCCTTTGCCTACGGAAATTTAAGTTTGGGACTTTGTTGATGCTCGCTGTTTTTGTTGGTAATGGTTGGTTTTGGGTATGAAGGGTGTTGTAGTGTAGCTTATGGAGCCCTGTTTCTGACTCATACTGCGATTTACTGCTTTTGGCTATTTTCTTATTCATATCGTACCTTTCTTGGCTCAGAAAAATCCTTGTTATTGCTTCCTAGTTGGTTGTTGTATTTTAATGTAATGCAAGACCTCTCACAAAGAAAATAAACGTGGCTTGCCACATGTTTCTGCATTTGTTAGTTCGTGCGAGCTCAGTTTGAGGACATGGTGAGCGTTTTCCTCCCCCCCCCCCCCCCAGGCCTTCATTCCATGAAATAGGTACATCCGTCGCCTTAATTTCCACCACTGCCGGCGGCCTGCCACTGACGTGGTTGTCATGACAACGCGATATCAATAATGCCAAGCTCACGATCGTGGTACCTTTAACTGCTTGGATGGAACCAGATGGAATAGAGGCAGAATAATAGCCGCAAGCCGTACTTGTTTGGCTGCGCTTGGAGCCGCGGCAAATGTAGTAAACTGAAATTGTTGCTGCGCCTCGAACGATCGAAGAAAACGAGTTCGTGATTTGGTTTGAAATACAGGTAAGAAAGACTGCTGTACTAGTGATTTGTAGTCAAAATTTTGCCACTGAGAACAGCAAGAGATGCTTTCGTAAGATAAGTGACATAACCAAATTTGTCACCAGGCTTCCTAAGCTCCGTGCTCCTGCGTCAGATGCACATCGATTGGTTGCTGTTTTACTTAGGATATAAGTATTTAATTCTTGCAGGTGTGTTGCAGACGCAAGGCGCTCCTGTCCTTCAGTGATGGTGTACGGGAGCTACCTCGCTCCGGAATACCGCGACTTTGCGACCATCGAACGCAGAAAGCGTTCCGAAGATTTGCGAAAAAATGCGATCTTTGACTCAAAAAAGCGCACAATTGGCTTGGATTTGCCGGGAATAAATCGGCAAGTCCAGTTGAAAAAAGAGCAACGCGAGCGCGACAAGCAGCGAGACGAAGCGTTTGAAAGAGCGGTGCTAAAGGCCGATTATCTGGCTCAGTTGAAAGAGCGTGACGAGTGCCGCTTGAAAAGAGCTTTGAATGTTGAACAGAATATTTTCCGATCGGAATACCAACGCCCAGAGCAGGAACGAGAGTTCGACCTGAACGACCCGAAATATGTATACAAATTTAACAATTTCGAAAAAACCACCGGCCCGCCAGACGGACCATTCGCTCTGGGTAAGGATGAGAGGCCAATGAAGATCGCCCACAAGAAGGCTGAGATGGAGTGGGAGAAGCAACTGCGCGCGCAGCTGTCTGAGAACAAAGCTTCCAAAAGTCAGCAGGAGGTGGCGGACGGCGTCGAAGTGAGGCGCCAGCGAGAGCTGAACGCCAAAACTATTGCGGCTGAGAAGGCGGAGGATGAGTGCAGGAAGGCAGTGCGAAAGGTGAGACACATGTATCTAGTTGTGCAGATGAGAGAGAGAGAGAGAGAGAGAGAGAGAGAGAGAGAGAGAGAGAGAGAGAGAGAGAGAGAGAGAGAGAGAGAGAGGGAGAGAGAGAGAGAGAGAGAGAGAGAGAGAGAGAGAGAGAGAGAGAGAGAGAGAGAGAGAGAGAGAGAGAGAGAGAGAGAGAGAGAGAGAGAGAGAGAGAGAGAGAGAGAGAGACATTCTTGCAGCATGAAAGGTTTGAATGCAGACATGAGCGAAACCCTATCGCACCCCTTCTTAACACGCTGGTGGTGCGTCCCGACGATACGCTACATTACATTCCAACACGAAGAGATGTACCAGTGGCACTTAGCCGGTAATGCGAAACCCACATGTGACGTTTCACCAGTCCGCAGCGAATCGCGCGGGGTGTGCAGCAGACACCTTCCCCAGCCGTGCCCCGCAACCCGGTACCGCCCGTGCCGTCAGATGACGTCGGAGATCAACCAGGCGCTGGCGGTGGAGCAGAAGCAGACGGAGGCGGCGCAGCGGCAGGACGAGGCCGAGGACAACATGGCGGAGATCCGCAACACGCTCTATGGTGACTTCCTCACCGAGACGCCGTATGTTGGCATCTCGTCGCTGGGCTCGCGACGCGTGCAGGTGGACCGCTACAAGGGGCTGCTGCCGGAGGAGCGCGCCCGGCTCAAGCTAGAGCAGCACCGCCAGATGGAGGAGGACCGCCGGCGCCATCAGCTGCAGCAGCAGGAGCAGCAGCGCTGGGAAGAGAAGGTGCTGGCCCAGGCGCGGCTGGGCATGCTCAAAGACCGCCAGCAGGGCCGCGCCGAGCGACAGATTCGAGAACAGATGGCGAAGGAGAACAGGCTGCTCGCGCTGGAGCAGGAGAAAAAGAGGCAGATGTTTGATAAACATGTGTACACCAACGTGCCATCCGAGGCCTACTTCAGTCAGTTTAACACGAGCACGCGCTAAGCTTTGGTGGCGATGCTCAGCGCACCTTTAGCTCGGCTCGATGACGTGGGGATTAATCGGTTTGTCGAAATATTGCAGTCATATTGCCATACAAGTGGACGATCTTGGATCGCAGTGCACGGGTGAGAAACATTTTATGTGAAAGGAATTAGTGCCGAGCCTGTCTAGTGCTGTCTTACCTTGGCTGTTTTACGCTAATGTGCACGTCGAATGACTGGAGAAAAGTGATTCGTGGGGTTGAAAACGTGCACAGAGTGCAGCTCGTCGTCAGTCGGCGCGACGCAAAGAAGTTGTCATTTGCGAATGTTTAGTTTCATCGTCCATTTTGTCCATGGAAACATCGCGCTTGACTCTGGCGAGTTACGACAGGCTTGGCCGTTTCTACCATTAGACGAGCAAAATATTTTACCGTGATATGATCGACAAAAAAACAAATTGCAAGCCCCATTATGTGTGTGAATAAACAAGCTTGTAAACGGCGCGACCATTCTGTCGGCACATCTGAAAACATCCATACTATAACCGAACTTCTGAAAAGGCCACACACACGAAGCCATCTGTAGTAGCAGTGACCAGATGCCGCTGTTGTGGAACTGGGGAGAGTGTGTTCGTCCCTGTCCCAGAACATCCGGGGACCAGCATGTTACGGACCGTATAAGAAAACATTCACGAATCTATTCTCGCACGCGCGTGCCTCGCTCTTCATAGATCGTAGATGGTACCCCATTGATGAGCGCGGGCCTCATTTTAGTTTGGCTGCATAAAAAAGCCTTTCTGAATTTTGCGCATCGGCTGAAATATGCTGTAGTTTGTTGCTACTTAAGTTACTTATTCTAATTTGCATTCATTGCGATTGTCGCCAGTTCTCTCAGGTGACCAGATTGTTTCGCTGTGTCACCAGGAAAAGCTCTTGAAGTCTGTAAATACAATACTATATCATGAATTTTATTCCACGATGTCTGGCTTTCATCTTCATCCCATTTTTAATTTTCCAGCCATGCTTCTGTCGATTAATCTTTCTTCTAATCTCTGGTGTATTTGGATGAGTTGAAACCTCATGAGTCGATATATACGCTCCCTTTATTTTAACAATCTAGTGTTTTAATATGACTGCCTCTTTGAGCGTGGCTGCAAATGAGACGCACTTGCTTCAAATTCTCGTGTGCGATACTTTGGCATGCGTACAAGTGCGATTGAATTCGGGGGGCATCCCTCAGTTGAGCGTTAGCTTTGGGGAGTGTTATTTGTTTAGTTCAGTAACTTTTCAGTTCCATGCCTGTGATGGCAGCAAAGCCTGGCCATAGAAGGAGGAAACCAGCAGCCTGGGACACGACCAAGAGTGAATACTTCCTGAAGTGGGATGCTATACGTGGAGAACAAATTCATAAAGATGCCTTAGAGTTCTTCATTCAAGCCAAGGACAAGTTGGACAAGCCATTTGATGACCCTGAAGATAAAGGTAGCAAGTGTTTTTAACCTTGATTATCACATAACTACAATTAAGGTTGGGGAATCTAGCTATGCTCTGTAGCTTGTACTTGCTGTATGCACAGTTTAAGAACACTGGTGTAAACCCTGTAATGAATAGTGTGTTGTTTGATCTGCTCAGAACATTCAACTCAGTTAATAAGCATGGGTGATCAACCTGGCTGTGCTTGTGCAATTGGCATTTTGTTGGAAATTCCTAAAGCATATTATAGGATTCCTGTAGTAATCTGAACTGTTTGAGATAGCCAGAAAATGATTTGATGTAAAGTTCTGCCATCAGCTTAACATTATGTATGTTTTTTAATTAACATAAATGATTTAGCATTCAATGCATTTTATTAGAGTCTCATGGCATAAGTGAATCAGGCTAGACTTTAGGGGCCATCCACATGGCATGTTGAGTTTGGAAGTAAAGGGTGGGTTGTGATGATAATGTTAAACCAAACCATGACAGGGAGATGGGGGGCTGGAGGGTATAGTATCATGCTTAGCTGTGGTTGCAAATCATGCTTAAGTCTATTTTTCCATTGTGCAAGCCTAAAACTGGGTACTGTTAGCTTCCTATCAGGGCAAGCTCCTGACCTGCCTTTGCATCCCACCTCTAGCTTAATTATTTGCTAGACATATTTACATCATGTTCATCACAGTGTTATCAGGGAGTGGTATGCCCACTGTAACCAGTGGTTTGCCAGGAGAGGAGGGGAAGGATGATAAATTACAGAAAGATATTCTACATGTCTTATGAATGGGCAATTTTATTTATTTCTTTTTACTTTACAGCAATTTATTTTGTAAATATTTGATGAGAAATGATAAGTTTTCCTTTTTCATAACCTGCTGGATGCCTATGCTTAGTACATTTTGTTGCTGTGTGTTTGAAAGACTTCAAAATTAATTTCTTAATTAAACACCATCATTTCAGAGCTGTTCATCCAGAATGTGTTCTCCCAGACAAGTGGAGAAGAAGTACCACTTGTCAAGAACAGTTTGGCCTCCCAGATTGTGGAGCAACTGATTCCAACTGTCAGTGATGAAGCTTTGTTGCCATTTGCTGCTGCACTCTACCAATGCATCACAGAACTAAGTGAAGACCAATTTGCCAGTCATGTTCTACAGACACTTCTCCTAAGTATGACATGCAGAGTACAGGTAAGCACTTATGATGTTTGCAGTGTGTAGTAATCTTATGTTTCTATGTAATATTACATGCAATTCTACCTGCTCTGTAAGGAAAACCAAGATAATGAACTAATCATCCTTGCTGGATGAAGAGAGTTATAATTATTCTAGCTATGGTATAAAGGTAGCATACTGACATCAGGTAACATGCTCATTCCACTTATATTCCAGGCAGGGACATCAAGCCTCCATAGCGACCTGGAGACATGGGTGCTAACATCTGCCGAGCAGCTCCAGGAACGCCTCCCAGCTCTGGCTGGCCACCAGTATGGCTCCCATGTGCTGCGCACCTGCCTGGAGTGTCTGGCTGGCTGCCGGGCACCTCAGCAACTGACGCGCAGCCGCAGCAGCCAGCAGCAGCGCTGGAAGAGCCGTGATGCTCAGCCCGTGCTGCTAGACAAGCAAAAGACGCCACCTAGCTTCACTGAGAAGTTCGTGGAGATGGCGAAGGCGGTGAAAAACCTGGAGGGATTGGGAGGTATGACACTGTTCCACTGAGGCAATGAGTGCACCTTTAAGCTGCTGTCACTGTAGGGTGTTTTAATGTTTTGTGTGGTTGCCACTTGTCCAAATGTTTTCAGTCATGTGTACTCCCAAACTTTGTATGTGACAGTTGCACCCTGAACATTCTCTTCTCATTGCAGAGTGTCTAGCTGATCAGAACTTCTCGACTGTTGTGCAACTGGTTCTCAACATCCTTTACACGCTACCTATGCTGAAACTGAGCAGAAAATTAATCAAGCGCCTCAGCAAGCTGTACTTCGGTGGCTCCATCCCAGAGGACCCCACAGTGCTGCCATCTGTGTTCGAAAACGAGAGTCTGCTGCGGGTCCTCGAGGCGGCGTTAGTGAGCTGTGAGGAAGACATATTTCAGAAGCTATATAGGAAATATTACCGAGGCCGGTTACGGACCCTGATGCAGGAAAATGTGTCGTCGATTTCGGTCCAGCGACTGGTGGAAGCTTGCCCTGGTGCCGAAGCTGTAAGTACACATATGGAAAATGTTTGGCAGGGGTCGTAGTGAAAGTGTCTGTTATTGCTACGGTGCCATTGCGGCTTTACGACGTGCTCATATGCTGAGGCTATATGACGTCCGCCTGCCTCTCACCCTGGCAGGAAGGGTAGGTACCCGCGGAGAATCGAACCCTGTACCTCTGGTTTCACAGACGCGCAGTGGTTATCGCAGACGCGTTAACCACTGCAACTATTGGCACACCTTATTATTGCTACCAAAGGTCGTATTGGAAGTAACTACGCTGTGATACATTCTTTTCGGTTCTTTCGAGGTTAAATTGTGACCACCCTGAATTGCTGGAGTCGTGTCGCTCAAAGTCTGTCTAGCTCAAATATGGGATTAGGCCTTGGGTACCCGATGGACACTGAATTAGTGAAGACATTAGGGCGCCTAAAGACAGCATTGTTGGTGCACTGCATCTGATCGGGATCATTTTGCACATCCCGGTGTGGGATCAATCAGGAGTGCTCTGAACACATTCCGGTGTTAGATTGACTGTTCCGTTACGTCAGTTTACACGGAACGAGAATGCCCAAGGCATTTAATGACAATTTTACAGATGCAAAAGGACACGATTAAGAGACCGTTTTAAGACGTGCGCTCTAACTGATCCCACGATATTCACCGATCTAACGACACACAGGCTTTTTGTGGTGAGTGGGTTGGTGTTTGTGGTGGTGGGCTTGGGTGCGTGACCGAATTGCAGAAGTCACAACTTTGACCCCGAAGTAAATATTCACTAATAAGTTCACGTTACATTGAACGGCGCTGAAAGGCTAATGAATTTGCAATGTGGAGCAGTAGACGCCTTGTATCCAGGAATGAGCAGAGTGGCAACAAACGCGGGAGTTCCCAATTACCGTGTAAGTGATGCCGAAACTCAGGAACTTACCCATGCAAGCCAATGGGCTGGTTCACGGTAGGCCTTGAGAAGCGCTGAGAACAGTCGAGGAGCGACCTTCCGACACGTGGCTGGTAACCAGGCGGCTCGGCCGCGAAAGGACTCGAACCCATATCAGTGCGTCTAATCAATTCGCTGTGAATTCTGTGCTTTCATCATTTCAACATGCAGATGCGCACTGATGCAGCATTCGCGTGCCCAGGTCAAAACTCGTTCTATGTAAATGTGGACCGTAATAGTGTGCCCACATTAGGCAGTTTGGACTACGAACGCAGCTTGCAAGTGTTTTCAGCTATTTGTGCTTGCGGTAGCTAAACAAAGATCTTGCGAAAAGCGCAGATAGTTTTCTTGAGATAATGGTCACGGGGCAGTGGGCTGAATGCGCGGTAATTTGTATGGCCCAGTCTCGTTTCACGCAATTTTATCGGAGGGACGCAACGCACGTCGTCGCTCATCGTTTTAGGGAGCGTCAGTAACAGAGTTCACAACGTTGAGGAGCCATGGCGCAACCGGGGTCGGAACCCCGACCCCCGCGTAGGAGCTGGAGGCGCTAAACTCTCGGCCATTACGCTCTCCCTTGGATTACGCCACAGCGGCATGTGTTCGATCTCGACTCTCCAAGAGGTGGCATCGACCGCGTCCCGGCCGCTTACTGGCGCGCCTGGTTCATTACTGGGTCGATCATTGTCTTAGAATTCGCAGTACATGTGTACGTTTGGCCACTACATGCACGTCGTGTACGTGTTACGGCGAGCCAGCGAGACGGTGGGTTACGGTGGCCGCGTTGATCCTGGCTGATGGCCTATAGGCCGTGCTGTGGAAGTAACTCGCGAGGG